GGTTTCGATCAGTTATAAAATTTCACTTTTGGTCCCACGACTTTTGAGTTCTTATCACTTTTGGTGCACAACTTTAAATTTTTTCAATTTTGGTGCCTAACTTTGTTATTTTTATCAGTTTTGGTCCTTCCACCCAAATTGACGGTAAAATATTTTTGAATTTTATATTTTAGGGGCAAAATCGTCATTCTATGGAAAGATCTTCAATATTTAAACAAAAGAAAAATCATATTAAGAGGAAAAGAAGAGTTTGCCAATGGTCGAAATTATAAATCCCATAGATCTGTCTGGTTTCTGCCCGTCTTCACCATTATTCTCATCGATCAAACACCTATAGATATGATTTTACAGTGATTTTGTTTAGATATTGAAGATGTTTCCTTGGGATGACAATTTTACCTCTAAAAATATAAAATCCAGCAACATTTCGCTATCAATTTAGCCAAAAGGACCAAAACTGATAAAAATAACAAAGTTAGGCACCAAAATTAAAAAATTTTAAAATTGTGCACCAAAAGTGATAGAACATCAAAAGTCGTGGGACCAAAAGTGAAATTAATTCAAATTAAAAAATAGCTACTGATTATTTAATTATCGATCGATTATTGACTGTAACTGACTGATGATCAACCCTACATATTATGGTCATATAATTAAGTATTTATTTATTTATATGTATATAAATCTAAGTATAATTGAGCATACGTATTCATACATGTGTGTATGTAATTTTGTGTGTACATATATATTGAGTATATTCCAACGATTTGATTAATATAACTTAAAATATAATTCTTAACTAAACATTTTAATATTACATGCATTCTCGCAATCTTAATTAAACACATAATATGCCAAGACCTTATGGTCTAGTGTCACTAAGGTTGCACTCCCTTGTGGGTTCGAGTTTTATTATTGAATCTTTGTGCTTCAATAATTTGATAATGTAGTTATGAACATATATTACATGGTAACAAAGTCAGTAGCACTAAAAAAATAAAAATCAAACACATAATATAGGCTTAGAATATAACTCTCAACTAAATATGCTAATATTACATCCTCACAATCTTAGTTAGCCAAACACATAATGTAATGGTATATTTTCATAGTCTCACATTAATTACCTTTGAAGAAGTAATCTATCACCTAAGATAATCTCATATTTGTAAACCAAACACCCACTTAATTCCATATTTTCTTACTTTAATTTACCTATTATGATCTGTCTACTATATGTCTTATCTACATATCTTAATATAAGATACTTGCTGTAAAATCGTAAGTCTTGAATGCAAGAATGCTAGTTGGTTTCTACTCAATGCTAAGAATATACATTTAATATATTAAAAATGTACTTTTTGTTATGATCCACAAACATTGTGTAGATCATGGTCCACACAATAATTTGCCCCTAACGCACTATCCTAGACAAAGTTCCTCTGTTGTAGCACGAATGACAGAGCAAAACAATAAAATACACCTATCCAAACTACTAAAATATATAATTAGCCAATAAAATGGTATAAAATCGTGTATCATTTGTACACTTACACGTACTTACCTATATATTTATGGTTAGATGTGATTTACCTGCATGGGCAGCTCAACTGGTCACAGAGGTGAAACTTTGGAAAAATAACCAGGATCGAGTCTCACCAGCGGCAGTGTGGGAGCAACCTCTCAAAGTGACGGGGATTCCTTGTGCGCAGTGAGCACAGGTCTAGCCTCTGTGTTCACATCCTCCCAACTGACTTTGGAAGAATGATTTGAATATATTGGTTAATATATTTTTAGTTATGGTATATCTAAATACGATTAATTGAGATATCTTCATCCAAATTGAATATTTTAAAAATATTTTGAACATCGAGTCTAAAATGTATCACTCTAAATTTTGAATATTCAAAATTAAATTTTGATATCACGTACACAATCTAATGTACACTTGCCCATACCCTTCGATATTATTGCTACTCATCACTAGCATTTGTGCATTAAAATGAAAAAACTAATTAGATTTCAAATAATCTATTTTTTTTTATTTGATAAATAATATGAAAAATAGATGTTGATTAAAATCCTTTTTTTTTTTTTTTTTTTGCGATAAAAGAAATTTAAAAAAAAAAAGTGAATTAAGGACATCTTTAACAGTAGAGATAAAATACATAGAGTAGTCTTGAAAGGGACTGCTAAGTGACTGAAGTATGATTCCCATACTAAAAGATCACATGTTTGAGTTTTATCAATACATTCTCGTTCGAACTCGTCACATAAGATCGATCTTTCTAGTGCGGCATGCCAATATTACACATGAGTGAGATTTACACACTACACATTGCATTCTCAAGTAATATTAAAAAATAAAATAAAATAGACACACCGAGTAATAAGTGTATATAGTAGACGCCACGTTACAATAGCATTTTTAAAAAATTGAGTCCATTGATAATATATTTAAATTGGTTGAGTGCAGTTGAATTGTTGATTTACCATGGAGATTAAAACAGACATTCTTAATTACGCCTACAGAGATAAGAAACAAAGCATAGGACATAGGTTGGTAGATAAAGAAAGGAATATTTTGTATGCACTTAAATTAATTGGCATAATTTTGCCTTTTCAGAACATATTGAGGGCACTAACACAGATTTTTTGAGGGTCCAAATGCAACTTTCAAACATCACAATATTATTATTATTATTATTATTATTATTATTATTATTATTATTATTATTATTATTATTAGATAAATATGTGTTTTAACTCCTTAATTATTCACCGATATTCGTTTTACTTTTCAACTTTTTCCCGTTGTAGTATACCTTTTTGACTTTCAAAAAGTTATCGTTTTAAGTATGAACTATGAAGCAACAAAATTATTAAATTCTATTGAATTTTACTCAATATATGTGTGTTTTACTTATTTTTATATTTCTTCTTTACTTATAAATCTATTCAGTTTCAATGTTTTAATTGCAAAATAAATAATTGATTTTAACATGTTTGTGTAAGGAAACATATAGCTGATATACCACAATTAATGAGGAAAATTTTAGGGAAGAATGTTGTCAACTTTTTGAAATATTGAAACTAAAGAGGTTATATTATTAAAAAAGATAATAAATTACTAAATCTGTGACTTTTTCAAATAAGAGGTCACATACTCAAATACTAGGTTGTAATAAAGTCGATAGTACTTAAAAAAAATGACAAGTAAAAATAATTTAAGGGACTAAAATGTAATTCTCATTATTATTATTATTATTATTATTATTATTATTATTATTATTATTATTATTATTATTATTATTATGAGTTTACAATATAAATTTTGGTCACCAAGTAACACATTAAATCGTATAAAGTTTTTCTCAATATAAGGTTGTCCTCAACCCAGCCAAGATACCCCGGCCCTTAGCTAAGTGATGTGGCATTTGCCACAATATGTGTGTGTGTATTATTTAGATTGCAAATTTGCGTCTGTAACAAATTTGTAATTCAGTATAAAAGCTGCAGCTATCATAATTGCGACAAGTTTTGTAATTTTTATCATCTCCTTTGTGTAAGCACTGTTTAACACAAAATTTACTTATTCAGACCATATAACTCTACTTATTTAAAGTTTGAATAATAACTGTACTGTATTTATAATTTACAATATTTAGAAATTAGAATGAGTATATTGTTATTAAAAATATAATCATTATTATTATATAAAAACAGACGTAATATTTAATCTTGCATATTGTAAAATATCCGCACACACTCTGGCGCACATTGCAAAAAGGGGAGACAAAGAAAAGAAAATTCTTGTTTAGAAAAAATTAATAATAATATTTTAATGAATTGATGAAACCCTATTCCTAGCTAGAGAAGGATCTAGCGGGACATCTGGCCAATAAGATACCAACATTATATTAGTTTGAGTATCAACATATTAATAACAACATTAGTCATTAGGGAATCAATGATAGCATGGCGATTATTGCTAATTTATATGATCATAATATTCAAGCACTACACAAATTCAGTCAAACTTCATCAAGTTTTTAATTTATTTTTCTTTTACTTTGTTTTCTTTAATCTATATATGGCCTTTTGAAAGAAAATTATAATATATTTTTATTACCTTTTAACTTAAGTACAATTATTATAAGTTATGATCGTACACACTGGAATATATGCCATAAGATGCATATATATAGGGGTGTCAAATTGCAAGTCGATTTGATCTCTTCTTGTTGATGTTTGATTAACATTTTAGAAACCCAACATTTAATGCAGTTTGTTAAGCATGTGATTAATATACTTATAAGATCGGAGGATTGTCTCTTGTATGCATGTGACATATTAAAGAGTTTTGGATTAAGTATTCGTTTAAATAAGAGTTAAACTTGGGCATAATATCAAATAATAGGTAACAAAAATAGCTTTAACAATAATCAAATTTTCAAGTTTTGAAATTTTGACTTTGTTTGGTAAAATAGTTAGTCTATCAGTCTATTTTGGTTTGTTTGACCATTATTAATTGTTTGGCTTAGTTAAACATTCAATATAAGTAGTGTTTAATTAATTAGCTTTTTGTAACCGCTGATTGCTTCAAAATACTAAAATTAAAAAAACTACTCAAAACAGTTTTTTTTGATCAGTTTTTTGAGAAAGTCATTTTGTATGTAATAAGCTATCAACTAACGACTAATTTACCAAACATCTTTCTACAATCAGTATCAACTAGTCAAAACTCATTAACCGAATCAACTAACAACTATTTATCAAACATCCCTTTGATACTTTTATCAAGTTTTATTTGTTTTTAGCAGTCTTAATATTTAGAAATTAAACTTGATCAATAGACCGGGAAATTTATGCAAAACATTCACAAGTTTATAGCTTCTTTCCCTTTTTAATTTAAATTTGTTCCAAACAAATCACAGCATGCATGCATGGCTTAAAGTTTAAACTTTCACAATTTGAATAGCTTGCTGTCGAACAAATAATTATAAATAAAAATGCTCATAAACTAATTTATTGGATGAAAATAGATCATTACTTACATCTTCAGATCAAATCAAAATAGGAAAAATAAAATATACATATAATAGCCTACTAGTTAATTAGGCATCACCAAAAGCATCATGGTGAACTAAAAAAACAAAAGACTTTTATTATCCTAATAATATAATAATTATAATAATAGTAATATTTCTATTAATAAATAATAAATAATACTGTAATAATGTATCATTATCGCCGCCGTCAATAGCTAAAATATTGATAATGCGTCGGCATAGCGGACGTCGTAGTCGACCCATAGCTGTTGAAAAATGGCCCTTTTCCTACTAACCCATCTTCTTCTTCTTCTTCATGCATTCCCTCAATCTACACCCACATAATTAATTTAAAAAAAAAATAAAATAATTTACATTATAAATTATATTAATAATTTAATCTAATAAGATTAATTCATAACATAAAAAATAAAAAATAAAATAAAACAGTAACAAGTTGACTAGAATATAGACGTAAGATAGAGCTTTAAAAAAATGATTGAAAATGTGGAAGGAGAATATATTACCCAAAGGTCATCTTCGTCTTCAAATCTATTAAAATTTGCAGTTTTTGGAATCTCGCCGGCTTCATCGTTGCGCGCAAATCGACCACGTATGCGCGGCCGGTTGTCGGCTAACGTTTTCCGGCATGCATACTGCGTATTATTGTCACATACATACCAACCACATTTTAGCATGTGATCTCAAACTATATATAATTTTAACGAGATAATAGAATCGGAACATCATCATGTATAAAATGTGTGTGAGTGACTGACTATACGGTGTTTGGTAAATACTCCGTAGTTGTTAGCTGATTAGGTTAGTGGGTGTGACTAGTTGATAACATTAGTTGATTGTAGAAAAGTGTTTAGTAAATTAGTTATTAACTGATAGCTAATTATATGCAAAATGACTTTCTTAAAAAGCTGATCAAAAAATCTGCTTTGAATTTTGAATTTTAATATTGTGGAGCAATAAACTGTTACAAAAAGTTAATTAATCAAACACTCATATCGATTTTTAATCAAGTGAAACAACTAATAGTGGTTAAATAAGTCAAAATTAGCTATTACCAAAAAAGGGCTTTTGAGTGAAGTAGAATTGTTTATAGTTTTTACCTTAATTGTCTTGTTGAAATTCCTGTGGTTCCTCTTTGCCCTGTACCTATGAATCCTCTCTTTCCTTTCTTCGGCACTGTAGCGTCCCACCTTGAAGTTGGCTTCCTCCATGAATGAGCTTTCCCTTGACAATGGGCTTGAAGAAAGAGTGTTCCTTGATTTCATCTTCTTCATTGAAAGCCAATTCAATCTTTTTTCAGAAAATTAAAAATGGAGATACAGATGAGAGAGAAAAGGGCCGTGGAGCTTATTAATTACCTGCAAATCTCCAGTGCTGCAAACTCTTCTCATTTGGCCGGAAGAAAAGCTGGTGTTTTCAGGGGAGCTGAGGACTTGGGGGGCATGGAGATTATTAGGTGATTCCAAGAGGGTATCCAATTGGGGCTGGAAAGGGGAGAAATTACTAGGCCTGCCATCAAAGGAGTTGCTGCTAAAGCTCCTCTGCATCATCTTCATAGCATTCTCGGCACCATAGCTCTGGGGAGGCATAAAGGATGGGTAGAAAGATTGGGGCTGATGAGAATCCTCAATCTTCACATCCAAAGCGGCAGAAGAGTAGTCTGCATAGAGAGGGGTAGTTTGGGATAGTGAGAGGCTCTCGAGCTGGTGGCTTGGGGGAGAAGAGGAGAGAAGGGCAGTGGCAATCTGGTCCAAACTGGATGAATTTCTCTCATCACCAATCAAGTTTTCTTGCTGATCCAAGGTGAACTCATCTGGGAATTCTTGGAAGAAATCTTGATCGTGGAAGAAAGGGTCAAGGAAAGTGTTGTCAAACACAAAGAGATCAGAAGACATTGAAATCCTAAGAATTGGAGGAAATCAAAGTTGAAAGATGAAATCAATGTTTTATTTTCACTAAAAGAGACAAATCTTAGAGAACTCTGTCCATTGCAGAGGATCGGAAGAAGACAAGAAACTAATTTCTCTGTCACTATCTCTATTTCAATGTTTGTGTATCTATATTCTTGTATATATGTATGTATCTCTTTCAGAAAAAAGGTTGACACACTGTTTGGTTATGGGGTGTAGACAAAGAGGCAAATTTTAAAATGAACTCCCTAACCACAAAGCTCAAACAAGCTGAACAAGGACAAAGGGCAGTCCAATAGGCAATACCACTATATAAAGACCAATTTGCACGGAAACCCTCCAAATTTTGGATTATCTGCAAATTCCCACCCAACTTTTTATCTTTCAAACAAGCCCATCGGAAGGGAACTATTAACCTTTGATCTTAAGCTAAGGATGTTAATCTTAACCCAAAATTAAAAGGTTGGTTCAATCAAATCTAAAAATTTTAGAGTCATGGTAAAAAAAATTAGTCAAATAAAATTATTGAGTGAGCTAATTCTTTAACACGAATAAATTAAAATTATTCTTTTTTTTTTTTCACAAATGATGTGAAACAAAATATAAAGAAAGTTTATTTTTAAACTCATATCTAGTAATTTTTATTAAATTTGTAAATAAAATATTAATAAATTAATTACAAAATAATTTTTTATGAAAATAAATAATGAAAAATGAAAAACTTATTATAATTTAAAATTATTATATTATAGTTAAATATATTAATTATTTTTAGTTAGAACCTAGAAATGAAGGTTTAGATTGATTGATTGATTAATGTATAAGCTTATACTCCGTATTTATTAGTGTAAATGTGCTAATTAAAATTGAAAGTTTAAAATGTTAATTTGTAAATGATAAAAGTTTTAGTTGAGTCTACCCGATAAGGTCAGCAGCTTGAAGTTTTAGGGTTAGCCAAGAATTTTAAACCCAACAAAGAAAAAACAAAAAGAAAAAAAAAAAGGAAGCCCAACTCGATAGGACTAGCTAGAAACCGAACATGTGTAACTTGATTGACATTCCTACTTGAAGCTCGTAATTCGTCACTTGATTTTAGTAGCATGTGTAATGTAGACTCACTCCTTACATTGTGACCAAATTTTATGTGGTCCAAAATACAATAACTTGCGATACCATTTTTGTGAGATTGATAATTGTCGGTGCAATACCTTATAACAATTAATGATCTAAAATAACTGGACTTAATCCATAAGAGGTCAATTTATGAATAATTGATCCTAAAGGCATTGTAGACCCTAGATAAAAACGACGCCGTTTTAATATTTAAGGTTTAATATATTATGTAATTTCCTGTTTCTAATGTTTCAATATAAATATTTGTCACAAGGATAACAAGAATAGTTTTAGAGGAAGATTAAATGTCTTTTAGGGATTTAATTTTTCAAACTTTTAAGTTTTTAATTTATCTTTTGCCCAATTAATAAGGATTGTAATATAAAATATTTGAAATACAAAGGACAACTATTAAATTAGGTAGGTTTTCAAACTTAATTGGCTTTTGTGCATGTTTATGAGTTTTTTAAGAACAAATCTTGACTATGTTTAACAAAATTTTAAGAAAAATAAGGCAAGAAGATTTTATTTATAGAGCATTAAGACAATGAAGTTTAGAAGCTAAGATAAGAAAGTTAAGGTTATGATAAAGTGGTTTAACCATATCAATACGCATGTTATAAAATAACATGAAAATTTTCAATCAAATCAATAAATATTAAGTTGTGATAAAATGGTAAAATTAAAACTATAAAAGAATTTAAATGTTAAAATATAACAATTAAATTATCCTATTTTTATTTTTTTTTTGGAAAAGAGACCAAAATTTGAACTTGATAACGATAGTATGTAAATTATGTTTAAAGTGAACAGATTTCTTATTGACACTAACATTCGAAATGTTATGATTCTTCGAACTTTTGAGAGAAGAAGAAATAATAACTTCAAACTTAAGGTTTCAAAAAAAAAAAAAAAAAAAAAAAAAAACTTCAAACTTAAGATATCAATGCCAACTGTTTCGCGTTTGGTTTGCTGATTAGTGACTTCGTCATGGTCAACCAAACATGAGTTTTCATTGGTTATAAGCTGTACAATTGTGAATGCCGAGAAGACCTTGAGTCTTCGCTTTGGAAAAGCTTTCGTCTTTGCTGGCTCATCTGAAGGAGAAGATATAGCAATTGAGAAGGAGTAAGTGATCTGGGGGGGTTTGGTTTCCGAATCTGTTCCAGAGCAACCGTCGTGAAAAATGGCGTCGCAAGATCACATGGACAAGATGCAGCTCCGTCAGAACTATCGCAATCTATGGCACACTGATCTCATGAGCACCATCCAAGCTGATACTCCTTGTATACTCCCTCTATCTCTCTCTGTATATATATATGTGTGTATATGTGTGTGTAGTGTATTGAAAGTTGATGATGTGTGCGCGTTTAACTGGTTGATGTTTTGGGCGTTTTTTTTGCAGATTGCTGTTTTGCGTTGTGGTGGTAAGTGATGTGGTTTTGTTGATTCTCAATTTATGTGGTTGATCTGTAATTCTATGTTTGAGTTCTGGATTTGTACAGTTTGATTTTGGAATTTGAACTCAGTTATAGGGTAATTGGACTTCCTGACTTGTTCTTACTCGCTTTGACCCGGAAAAACCCAGTCTCGCTAAAATGATAAGATGATACTTTTTTTTCCTAATCATGATTTAGAAGTTGTGCAGAATTTGGTAATTGAAGTCCAAACATTTCAAATGCTTGGCTAATTTTCTGTTTGATATTGCTTCTTATACTGAAAAATCCAAGCTGATCTAATACAACATATTGGATGAATGGGCAGCGTGACATTTTATAGAAAAGCAATGCTTTAATGTAGATCTGTCAGTTGATTTGTAATTCATTAATGTGAATGTGTGATTTCAGTCACACTAGGCTAGTATGCAAATTGGTCCAAAATGGTTAATATACTAGAAACACATTGTTCAGCAATATCTATCTGGTGTGTATATGGGGAGTATGGAGACAGTTGTTATTTGTAGTGGTCTTTTGTATAACTTTTGTGTAAATCTGATTGATTTAAATTGTGTGCCATTTTGCTAAAGGAAAGTTGATGAATTGCACAGATTGACTAAAGAAAGGTTTGCACATATAAAAGAAATTAAGAAGATAAAAAGGATAAGTTGAGGACTTGAGGCCTAGTTTGGATAAACATCTTAAATAAGCTGTTTTTAGAATAAGAATTTTCCAATAAGCTCAAAAAATCATCATAAGTGCTTATAGCAGTAGATAAACTGTAAATAAGCACATACAAATTGCACTTGAGTTTATGGCTTTATCCTATAGTTCTCCATCTTTGGGTAAATGCTAAGTTCTGCTTACTTTATGCATATAGCAGAGGTTATCTAGTTCTATGGTCTTTGAATTTGTTACTTAAATGTTTTTCCTGGTGTTAAATTCATGAATATTAAGAAAAAGTAAATGTTTGCTATGCTTTGAATTGCAGTGGACCGTGTGTATCATATTTGCTTCGAAAACGAGCTCTTTACAATGATATGTCAAGGTAATTGATGCTCTGTTCTATTTCAAAATTTAAAATGGGCGTACCTTGTAAGTTGTATCGACCATGTTTTTTTATTTTTATTTTTGCTGCTGTAGGTATACATGCTGTGCTGGTTATATGCCCTGCAGTGGTCGATGTGGAGAAAGTAAATGCCCCGAAGTGTGCCTTGCGACTGAGGCAAGTTAAACTAAACTGGCTAATTCATATAACTTGGAATTAATTATGTTTAGTGTTGTGATTGTAATGGCATATGGAAGCATTTATTTTATGCTGCTTACTGCATTTTGTGTACTGTTTATACCTTGTTCTCTCTTGCAGTACAGTAGAATATAAGCATCAGAATACTATAACAAGAAATCTTATTTTGTGACCTAGAAATCAATGAGGTGATTTCAAAGGGGTAGTTGAGAATTTATACTGCAAACATGGGTCCAAGGATGTTAATCGTGTTATGTTCATCCTGCAACTTGAATATACTGCTTTATATTCTCTCATTCTTGTGTATTGTGCTCCATTTTGTAAATGTTACATTTGCCTGAACTGCAGAAGTTAGAAATAAACTCCCTGTAGAAGTTGTCAAATGATGTCAACAAGATAATGCTTCTTTTACCCAAATGTTTTATCTTTTGGACTTAGTGAAAATCCATCTGCAGTGGAAGGTTTTCTTCAATTTTTTTTTTTTCCTTGTCATGCTTGTTACTTAATATAGTTCATTTGAACATCTACAGGTTTTTCTTTGCTTTGGAAATTCAGTGGCTTCAACTCGCTTCTTGTTGCAAGATGAGTTCAACATACAAACAACACGATGTGATAACTGCATTATTGTACTTCCTCTATCCCCTCTCCGCACATGAAGCAGTGCATTCACCAATACACATGCATTCCAATTCTTTATTACCAGTACCTTAAATAGGGTTTCTTCTTGTAGGGTTTCATGTTCTGTCTCCAACAACTTGCTTGCATATTCTCCATAATTGCAATGATTGTTGGAAGTGAGGAGATCCAGGAGGCGTCCCAGTTACTATCTTGCTTGTCTGATATGGTCTACTGCACGTAAGCTTCTTTTCTTCTTATTTACCTGTGTTGTTCCATATGAACATACCTTTACTAATTTTATCGCACTTCTTTTGTTGCAGGGTTTGTGCCTGTATGCAGGTAAGCTAGGATGTACCCATTTTACTTAAATATATGATTGTTGAATTGCTATCTCAATCTGGTATCTCACTTGTTTCACTCACATGGATGCTATTCTCGATGAATGTGATAGACGCAACACAAGGTTGAGATGGACAAGAGAGACGGGAAATTTGGTCCTCAACCGATGTCAGTTCCTCCAGTTCAGCAAATGTCACGGCTTGATCAGCCGTACCCACCCAACGTTGGATATCCTGCGCCAGCATATGGTCAGCCTTATGCTCAACCACCACCTCAAGCTCAGGGTTATCCAGCTTCTGGCTATCCACCAGCTGGCTATCCTCCTGCTGGTTATCCCCCAGCTGGCTATCCAAAGTAATCATTTTGGCCAATCTGGGTTGGAAATATACCTTCATTATCTTGTCATCAGACAGTTGTAAGTCATCTAGATTACAATCTTGGAGCATTAAAATGTATTGAACAATGTGTGGTGAGTTTTTGTGTAGATTCATATCTCCGAACATGTTTATGTGGGTTTTGTAATTTGTTCTGGATATATACAATTAATTAATGTGTGATTGCATATGAGTATTCTTTTTGGGTGACGAGGGAAACCAGTACTTGAAGGTGTGCATTGAGTAAATCTTGTCCTTAGTCGACAAAGTACTATAAGGAGATAAATCAATAGGTCTCTTCCACTAGGAATTCAACTTGTAACTAACTAATTTCATTGGGATTAGCCTACGAGTATTCTGTTTTGCTGAGATGCGGATTTGGTCTTCCTGTCTGATCATGTACTGATAAGAGCATCGTTATCAATTGGGGATATTGTAAGAGTGATTAGGAAAGAGAATGTCCAGGCTTTTGCCAAGCTGTGCGTGAAACGCGCACAACGTTTTTTTTTTTTTTTTTTTTTTTTTTTAATTTATGACATTGTATTGTATCTTGCAGGAGAAATAACTTTTGAAATAACCCCACCCCACATCTATAAATATAATTCCACCCAAATTATTTCATCTGACATTAACCCCATATTATTTTCTATTGTGAATGCTCTAAGATCTCATTGTCCCATCTCTGCCATCTTTTGTTCCCACACATCTTACTTGGCTTTCTATGTCTCTTTCTTTTTATTTTTTTTATTTTATTTTTATTTTTTTTATGTTATTTTTTTAAAGAAAAATAAATAAACATCAGTTTGAAATATAATGGCTTTAAAGAGCAGTGAACAGGGTTAATGATCCTTGAAATTATGGTTTTCTATACTTACCCTCAAGTGTTTGACTTTTTATGGTGTTTTACAACATTTACCTTTAAAAGGGACGGATCTCCTTAGAATTGTCTCACAGGTCTCAATTCGTGAGACGGGTCGAATCTAATAAACATGTGTTATAAAAGAATTTAAATCATAAATGTAATACTTTATAACAAAATTGAAATAGATAATTTACAAGGAATTAAAGTAATAGCATAACTAGCATAATAAGTACTTTATAGCAAAACACTAATAAACAATTTGCAGGAAATAAAGTAATAACTGTTGTATTGTAGTTTGTTTGCAGGCGAAAACAATAAGAACAAGAAGAAGATAATGAAGAAAGAACAGAGGAAAAAGGATTCTCATTACATTATCATCTCTGTACAGCATTGCATCAATATATATAACAGCTAATATAGAATCATACCATAAGTATCAAGCCGTTACAAATCATATCATTAATGCTAGAATAATGTCCATATTTATATTTTACAACACTCCCCTTGGACATTATTTTGTCATAATCATGCCTCGTTAAAAACTTGTCAGGAAAACCCTGTAGGAAAAAACCTAGACAAGAAAAGAGTACAATAGGAAATATATTCATGCCTCATTAAAAACTTCACTAGGAAAACCGCGTGGGAAAAACCTAGTTGAAGAAAAGAGTACATGATATATGTAAAAACATATATTATATTGGTCACCTCGTTAAAAACCTTAACTTAAGAAAACCCTGTGGAAAAACTTAGTTAAGGGAAAAAGAGTACAAACATAAACCTTCAGGGCATAATCTTCAGGATTTTGGGGTTTGTTTACCTCTCCTCATTTACATTACTATATCTTACACATGCCTTGTTAAAAACCTCATTATAAAACCCAATGGGAAAACTATTTGAGGAAAAGAGTACATGGTGTATGTGTATTCTTGTTTTAGATTAACTACCTCATTAAAAACCTTAGATTTAAGGAAAAATCCCGTGGGGAAAACTTAACTAAGGAAAAGAATACAGTTGCTAGTCTTCAAGACCCAATCTTCAGGATGACAAAATGATACTCCCCCTCAAGAAGACAATCTTCAAATCCACACATAATATATATCCAAAATTGTAGAAATGGTTTAGTCAAATCTTCTGGATTGTCACTAGAGTGAATATGTTGCACAATAATTTTGCGACTCTTCTAGAGCCCGTAATGGTTGGGTTTTGACGCTACATATGTTTTGTCAATTATTCTTTAACATACTCATATATTATTTGTGCAACTCAAGCGTTATTGTCCTCATTTGGGACATTTGGGGGAATCATTGTTTAACCAGTTTGGAGTTTTTGGCATCACAGGGATCAAACATATAATAGCCAATACCCAAACAGCCTATCAAAACCATACATTTGTTTCTCATATAAATGCCAAACTCTTTTGTGACCCAGAATAAATATTATTCCAATATTTCTTTGTAGTAGGAGCCCTAGATGTTGCTAGCAATTTTATCGCAAATATCATATCTGTTGCGATTATGGAACTTCTGGTTCTAAAGGTGCTCCAACGACAAAATGAAGTAAAGGACTATTAAGGTATCCTTACCGAGTCTAAACAGTTCCTTATCTACTTCAAGAGATTATTGGGCAACCTTATAGTTTGACGAAATCATGATACTTAACCATATAGATAGGTGAAAAATAGGCTAACTGGTGTATAAAATTCATTCAATGGAAAAACTCGATCTTCAAGTCGAGATAATACTTAGCTTTCACAAGCCTTTTATTTCAAAAAACTCTGTCTTTAGATATGGGCTGACATCATCAAGCCCTTTATATATTTCATTGATGTTTTCCACCATCAATATTGACTTAGATAATAAATAATAAATAAGTTCATTATCAACCCTTTATCGAGCACACAATGGTACATATTATTCCTTCAATGAGGATATTAACTCCATTCGCAACCCTTTAAAGAGTAAATAATGACACTTAAATTCTCATTTCGGGAATTATACATCCATCAGGGATTTCTCAAAATAAATATTAATTATTCTAGGTCCTATAAAGACCTTAATATCTTAATGTGCGATTTTTACTTTTTCTCATTTTGAGAACTTAAAATCCTTCGGGGACTTTTGAATTTAATATTAGTTGCATATCTAATTTATTATTCTGCCAATGATGTAGCGGAACTTAATGCCATTTATCATGGGAAAATATGTTTGATTAAAATCAATCAAGGGTATCTGCGTGAACCCATAAGACTACAAACTCGCTTTATATCATATCACCTCATTATTCTTATTTCTCTTTCGTACACACACCCATTTGTATTGTTATAAAGAGAATTATTAATAATTAGCGAGTCGAGCTATGCCTTAATTGCTCCTTTATACGTTAAATAGTCATGGCACTTCCGGTGCATAACTCTGGATCCAGATTATCATATAATGGAGCAATTTGTACAGGCTACTGTGTTGTCGACAACTATAATACTTTCATAAATCTCTCCCATATTTATAATTGTTTATGGCAATATTTAAGTCAACCAGATTCTAGACATTTCCCAGAACTTATTCAAATCACATCTGGTTGTCCCGCATCCCTAGTATTACGTTTGTTTGGTGCACCTATAAATTGACTAGGGTTTTTCGTCATCTGGACGAACGTCTCCAAGACATAATTATTCAAGGTATATCAAGAGTGACAATGTTTATTTACTAGATCTAGTATCATGATTCTTAACTTTTACACCGATAGATCTCCTACACTTCTGGCGTCAAGGAGTATCGGTAGATATATTTGGTCCAAGTTGGGGAAGGTATATGGACCTAGTCACTCTTTATGATCATTATGATCAATAGATATGTTTTGGCAGATTATTTACTAATATCGCAAATATATCATCTTATGAACTTCCAGTTCAGTCTAACTAGTACATGGATTTAAATAATGAAGATATTTTGAAATTTCTTGGCATTCTATTAAATTTGAACTCTTATCTCCCCCTAATGCCGAGAAACGATCTTCATTAATTAAGTAGGCAATCAGCGTACCTAAGGATATGTATTGGTCTCCTATCATGTGCTCTTAGTATTAATTACTCAAGAGATGGAGGCTTCTTTGGTAGCATTTTTACAGGTACGCTGTGGTAGTGATATATTGAAATAATAACGCAGATAGGGAAATGTTTATTTTGAAACCATGTACTAGGTTCATAACAATCCTTGAGGGATTGATTTGTGATATGCACTGAGTTAGAATTGGATTTAAAACAAAAGTATGTCCCCAAAACAGATAATTCAGTAATTTCCCCTTCACACATGCTCTATAAAATACTCATGTGGATAAGAAATTCTAATATCTAACTCATTATATTTGCCCTAAGTGACCCAATTGCTCATGCCATAATTAAATAAATGGGTCTCTAAAAAGTAAAGATTATTGGCAACACAATAAGTTCTCAAATGTATATGAAATTTACCACAAGTGAGATATAAATTTAGATAGGGCAAGCATATACATTGACCAAAAATGACTGGAACATTCGACAATCTTAGGGAGATTAAACAGCAAAAGAAGTATAGATGGTGAAAAATTATCAAATATTAACAATTTGTTTGCTTCAGGCAAACCAACATGATGTGAATCACTTTTGGCGGTTAAGCACATAGCATTTTTGCATAGTCTTAAAAATAGAAGTTGCAAACTTCATTCACGAGTCATAAGTCATTAGTCACTCAAAGAACTACTACTGGAGTACAAAGTGACTATCATAAATGACAAGCAAGATAACGAGTGACAGATAAATTAACGTTCTTAGTTTGCCTTCTGGGCAAAACTATATTCAATATTTATGCTATATATCACAATATTTAGACTCATATAATCTAATCGATATCACAAGATCAAATTAAGGTTTAGCAACGAGAGGTGCAACCTTACAATGAAAATCATATTGAGAATTCATGCTAGTCTCACTTATACGTTGCGTGATAAATCACGATAGCTATGGCCTATAGCAAACAATTAATTGCCAACAAGAGAAATAACAAATTATCTTATATGAGCCTAATCAAAAGATTATAGGCTAAATATTGTCAATTAAAGATAAGCATATTCAATGTGCGATATAATTGTCCCTTATGTCTTGGACACCAAAATCTCAAATAAGTCATGCACATCCACCTTAAACAAAGAGTATCATGTGTGGTACACACAATGCATAACATGACAAGAGAGATTCTATTAATTCATAAATTAGAAGATAAAATGAGAGAAGTACCGTTCGTCAATGGATAACAAGCACATGTTCGCTTATTCAAAAACAGGACTTTCCTAAGCAAGATTTCATTTTATCTCATAGTTTCATACAAGTATGAAAACATCACAAAATAACAAGGTATACAAGCTAAACTGAAATTGGCAGAAAATTTCAGAATTTTGACTTGGATTACAAAATTACAGTTTGCAATGAATAATATTATTAAACTCATATATCATAAGATCCAAATTTTCTTGATCCAACATGTCTTATATTACAGAGTATATAAACAGTGAAGAGCACTCAATTATGTATAAATAACATGACTAAGACAATTTACCTTAAATTATTCTGAGTTAGAATTATCTCATTTAAAAATGGAAGATTTCATGCTTAGTTAAGAGTCAAAGATATGATTGACATATTAATCTATACTTTATATATTGATTTTTTTTTTAGATCGGCTCAAGTGTTAAACATGAGAATGAAACTAAGGTAAACATGTGCAACAAGCAGGAGAAGAAGAAGAAGAAGAAGAAATTGAAAAATAAAGAAATAAAGCTATCAATCATAGCATTTCAGAATGCAAGAAGTAGGAGCGTTGTTTTGAGTGGGATTGGCATTTTACGACAATACCATTAACGTTTGTACAGCTTGGCTTCTGAGCTTGCAAGCGAAGAAGTTGACTTTTCATAAAAAACTTTTAAAAAAATACTCCGTATTATTTTTCTTTGGTCAAACGTCAATGGTGTCTCTTGTTTTGATGGGTAGAATGGAGGAAGAAGAAAAAAAAAAAAAAAAAAGAGGTAAAGATGAGCCAAAGAGAAAATAGAGAAATATAAAAATTAATTGATGTATTCTGTGGTAGTGTAAAATATCAAATTGCTTTGGAAGGGTGAGTGAGTGGGTGGATTATAATTTTCATATACTTGATATCTTGGTCATGAGTTTGTCAAGAATATTGTTCCCATGTAAGGTCTGATTACAACCGTTCATCAATGATTGAGGTTTAGTAAATAGAAAAAAAAAAGCTTATTTTATAATTATTTCAAACATTTAATTTTGCAATATTTATAAATTAAAACTGATTAATCTATCAAGACTATGTGGTCTAATGGTACCCGGGTTGAACTTCCATTTGGAAGGTTACGAGTTTGAGCCTCAGTGGAGGCGTTATTGGTTCTTTGTGTTTCAGTAGGTTGAGAAAGTATATGAACAGATACTACAATGTAATATGATTAATCTATTTTCTCATTATTTTTCAGTAATTTTCAACCATTGATCTACTCAAACGGATGAATTAGATCCCACTTTTTACCTAAACCCTTGTGTGTGTGAAGGATCTCTCGGAAAAAAGATGGAGTTAGATCTGAGCCGTTGATCAAATCTAGATTAACGACTCAAATTAATGACACTTTTTTTTCTTTATTTAAACGTCTTGTTTTTATCTTTTCGAGATTTGAAGCAGCGAAATTATTGGTTCAATTTAGAATTATAAACCAAATAGAACTCTAATAATTAAGTACTTCTAATAAGTTAACATGTAAAATGATTAAATTTATCACATCCTTTCAAAATAAAAAATAAAAAATTATCACATAAGAAATCCTTCTCAATTTTCACACGTTTCCTATTCTTCTTCGATTGTAAGTCCAAACACTGAATGCATATCATTTTGAATTATTAATTCCACGATGGGCAAAAACATTTTTATTCTGTGACATCGCATCCATATTTTTTCTAGAAATAGACATACCATTTTACGTTAATATGTTCGACTTTTTACATTTCCACATTCTAAACTACATCAATTCCTTATTGTTTTTAACAATACTTACATTTTGTCCCATATAATAATTTAACAAAACACTAACTACAAATACAATTGCAAAAGTTAAAATTTTTTTTACAAGAGTTGAAGTGGTAAACTGGCGTTCTCCGTAACATCAAATTTAGCCTCTCAATTTCTTCTTCATTTCAATTTATCCTCTTCAGTAGTCCTGGTATGTATTATCATCTTTGTCCTTGCACACATAGGAGGATATGCCCACTCAAAATATCCACAACAATTCCTACCCTAAAACAAAACAAACAAACAAAAAAAAAAATTAACAATAATTTTAAAGCACATGAACTCAACTCCAGCTTTGTCCTCACCGATACATCCAAACATTGTCAAAACCTCCTTCCCGCATTATACCAATTACCACAAAGTCAATTTCAAATAAAAATACAATATATAAACTACAAAATATTTTTAAATTTATATACTTAAACATTCTAATTGTTTATGTTTTAAATTTTTAATGAACATATTCATAAAAAAATTTTTTAAAAAAATGCAAACTTTAGATTAGACTCATCTAAAGATTCATTGGCAAACAAAAGGATACTAAAGTATTCTATATTCACAAATTTATCCTCACTAATATCCAACATTGTTTCCATCCCGAGAAATGCATTTCAAAATTTTGTTTGAGTTTTTAAAAAATTGGGTTGGAATTTTTCTTAAAATAATTTGTGCCGGAAACACATTTCCAACCTAAGAAAAGAGTTTTCAAAATTTTGATTAATTAGGAAGCTAACAAGGCGTTTGGTTGGAGGGGGGGAATTATGTGAAAAAGGAATTGTAATTTCATGGGAGTTGAATTACTGGGAATAAAGTGGGAATTGTGTTTGGTTGACAGGAATATAATTACTGGGAATTTCAATTTCAATGTTTGGTATACATGGGAATTGAAAGGGAATAAGTAGTATAAAGTCAAAAATGTCAATTATTGTTGTTAGACATTAATTTTAGGTTAAAAAAAAAAGGGGTAATTTTGACTCATCACTATCTTTTTTTCCCAGGAATTAAAATCCCAGGGGGGACATGGGATTTTAATTCCATGAAAATGGGGGAATTGCAATTCGACTCCAACCAAACTACGGAAGTTAATGGCCTTTGGAATTAGGTGGGAATTAAGTGGGAAGGGAATTTAAAATCCCTAAAACCAAACGCCCTGTAAGTAGTGTGAACCTTTTTTGGGAACTTTTGATTAATTAGGAAAAGATACAAAGTGTTTTTGAATGAGCTGAATTTTAACAAATTTTGAAGATGAAAACATTTCTTAAACCTAAAAATGCACTCTCACGGAGTTTTTGTACAACATAGAGTATTCCTATTGTCCTTTAGTTTGATTCTTATTGTACTTGTTACAAGATGTGTTGTTTGATCCCTGAAGTGAATAATATATACTAGCAATTCGCTCGTTGATGTATTCTTCAGATGACTCTCTCCATCTTGGATAGGGAAGGCAATGGGTTGGGGTGGGTTTGGAGGGCTACACATCTATCCACCCGACCCACCTTATATTTTCTCCACCCACCCCTACCCCAACCCGCATTAGATGGACTTTTTTAAAATACACTCCCATCCCATCGGGTCCGGGCGCCCACTACGGGTACCCACCACTTACCATCTTATTAGTTTTTTTTTTTTTTTTTTTTAATAATATTTAAATTAATTACACATAATAAAATAATAAAATTCATTAGTGATACTAAAACATAAAATAATAAAAAATATTTAAATATAATAGCTAAATTGTTAATTTTTAAAAATAAACTCAGTAGTTTGAATATAAATATAGTAAAAAGATACACGAAGTTATATAAAATGTATAAATAACTATATACTAGCTAGTACTTATTTTTCTATATATATATACATACATACATATATATATACATACATACATATATATATATATATATATATATATATATATATATATATATATATATATATATATATATATACACACACACACACATGCGCGCTCGCGCACATACACACACACACATGGTGGGTCGATTGGATGGGGTTCTAGGCGGATTTTGTACATAGAACCCGATCCACTGCAGCTTTACTTTTTTAACACCCACCCCCGACCCATCACCCACCATCACCCAAAAAAATCCGATCCATGTGGGATGGATTGGGGTGGATATCCATGGGGCGGATTGAAATTGTCATCCCTAATCTTGGGTGAGTTAGGTGTAAAATTTCCCTCCGATCCCCTAATAAAGTGCATTCAATGCGCCAGATGTAGTAAATACACCAGGGTAGTTGTGACAGTGGGTCGGACGCACCCGAGTTGGTTTTGAGTTCAGTGAAGTCTCCCTCAAGGTATTAAATGCGCATTATATAGGGTTGAACGGGATACATGCCGGGGGTTCGGCATGTGAGCCACGTGTAGTGCATGCACTGGAGAGGTCACAAGCATTACTGATAGGCCCATGTGTGAAGATATTCCTGACACGTTCGTTTTCGATGTGATCGGGTAGAGTGTCATTGACTGTGCTTGTCTTCCAGTCTTAAGAGGTCTTACAAGCTCAGGAAGCCCGGCCCAAGTTCTGGGGTCGGGACCGAATCTAGGATACGTCGCACAATAGCTAATATTGTAGCTAATGAGACTGCGTTTCGGGTCAGGTCGGGTTCGAATGGGATCGGATGTGATTGGTAAGTGCGTCTTGCGACATATGGTACACGAACTGAGCAACTATACAACCATAAGCCCGAGGTATAGTTTTCATCGCATTTTATAGGAGAAGGAAGGAGCACATGCCGGTAGCTCAACGGTGAGCATGCATCAGTTGGTCGTGCCAAATGTCCTTTCCTTTCACTATTTTTGACAAGATTTCTGAGGTGACTCCATAAACCCTCGAGCTCTGTGTGGTGGGTCCAATACGGTCGAATTTGTACCTAGTGCCGATCAGACTTAAACCTTATTAAGGGGATCGCCTCTCGAGAGATCGACACGAGCTGATTGGAGCACATCGATAACAACCAATTGAGGTCAGGAAAAACACCGGAGACAGTCGGAATCAAAACGCCCCGTTAGTATGAAGCATACGACCCTATCAATCCTGATATTAATACTCATTCAAAATATAGTAAAAACATAATAATTTATTTCATTTATATATAGTTCTACATTAAATCTATATCGACATATTGCCCATATTCATACAAGGGCCACTCAACAACAACAAAAAACAAAAGAAAAAACAACATATATATCATCCTGATGAGATGTCCAAGTTGATTTGGTGGGGGGTACATTCCATGACTAGTCCTGCCTAGGGCGGCCCAACCAGAGAGCGCTGAGAGTCCGGAGACGATGGAAGAAATCAGTAACTATGAGAAAGCACCTCGCCACTTGACCCACTGTTAGGATATGATATAGCCTTTGGATTGTTTGAATCCTCAAATTATCTGCCTGTTTTTACATGGCCGATCGATCAAGTTAATTGGATCACCCAAAAAAAACATTTAGAGAGGTAAATGATGGAGGGAATGTATATTTAATTACCTGGCGAACAAAAGTGTGGAGAGTGTAGAGGTTGGTAATGGCGGCAGCCATTTGGGTCATGCAGGAAGGCAGATTGGAAGGGTAGAAGAGTGCATCAGAAGATATGATATCAGAGATTGTGTGGTGAAGAGTTTCCATGCCTTGTGATAGAGCTTCTTCTGCTTCTTGTGTTGATTGTCGCAGTCCAATCATTCCCAACGCTTGTTGCTCCGTCACCTCCAATTGGCTCATAATTACCTATAACAGTAGTATTTATATTCCATTTCTGTTTCTTAAACAAACCAAACACCGCTAGAATAACAATACTAAAGTCTATTTTTTCCGTGACCCAAACATGCTGCTAAACGGGATATATATATATATATATATATATATATATATATATATATATGTGTGTGTGTACCTTGAGAAGGAGGGAGGGACGGAAACCGCCGATCCAAATGAAGCAACGTTCAACGGGGGTCCAGCACATGCCGGAGACGAGATGGAGAACGTCGGATTTGGCTAGCATGGCATTCAGATGTGTCATCTGAGCATAATGTGCAAAACAGGCATCCACATACCTCTTCAGCTCATTCTCCGACAACATAAGCTCATCAACTGCTTTTCGGAGCTCGCATGTGATCCGATGTTCCTCCTCTATCCACCTTGCATACTCCACGTCGAAAGCCGCCCCTTCTAATTTAATTCCACCCATCACAAATTAATATATATATATATATATATATATATATATATATATATATATATATATATATATATATATATATATATTCTAATTATAATTAGTTCAGTAATTATAATTAATAATATTGAAATCATACCAGGGGTTATTTTGGTCAGGGAAAGAGGATGCCCATGCCCTACTCCAACTACATTGCCATTTTCAGTAATACGAGCTCCCTGAAATATAAATATAAATTAACAAAAATTAATTTGGTGCATAAATTAAACAATATAAAATAATATTGGGATAAAATATTACGTACGCGAGCTTGGGCTAGTGCCACTTGTTGTTCTAATTGTATGAGCTTCATCCTACTCGTCTCAAGCTGCTGAACATAAGCCTGCAATAAATTTATTTATTTTTTTTTTTCAAAAATAGACCATTTAAAGCCTTTTTATTTTCTAAAAAAAAGTAATATTCTGTGAATAAAATAGTTTTGCCTTCTTCCTAATCCTGCATTTCCTAGCTGCCTCCCTGTTCTGCGCCAGCCTCCTTAAAGTCTGCAAACAAAGACCAGAAATTGTGAACATTTCTATGTTGTAACGTTACAATATATTATTAGATATTAGATATCAAAATTAAAGTTTGTAAATTACTTATTAACAAAAAAACAACCTTAGCGTTTAGGGTTCCGCCGCGTCCTCCGCCGCTTGATGTCGAACTTCTGCGACTTTCACTTCCACTTCCACTTCCTTCAAGCTACCGAATTAAATTTTTTTTTTTTTTTTTTTAAAAAAAAAGAGTTAATACAATGACGAAATTTTTTAAAAAAATTATTTTTACGTTATTATGATATATGGGTGTGTAGTAATTCGTAAAAGTACGAGGACCTTAAGAGGGTTGGGAGGTTCAGAAGCTAAAGCCGAAGCAAGAAGGGCTTTGTTTTTAGGGTTGGATAGTTTCATTGACGGTGCGGATGATTTCTTTGAACCCAAAAATAATCAATTATTAATTAATTTGTTTTAAGAAGAAGAAAATGAAAGAGTTAACGGTACTACCGCAGTTGGTGATGGGTTGACGTGCATGGGCTCTGAGGGGAACATGTTCAGAGTATTTGGTAGCCTCATCCCATTATTCTCTGCAACGGTAGGAATTGAACCATAAAAATAACATTAGGGATATTTATATAAAAAATTTAAAATTAATAAAAACAATTTATCCAAGTTTGATCAAGCCACAAAACAGAATAAAAGAAAAAAAAAAAACTGAATATTCTTTAATTTTTTTTCTTGAAAATATGAAACATTATTACGTTGGTCATGGCTTGAGGAGGGATCTTGATCTTGAGGTTGTGCGTTGAGAAAATGAAGAAAAGCTTGATCCAACTCACCCACATCATAGGCTTCGGAGTTATCCTTGTTCCTGCGCCAAACATTCAGAAATACAAATTAAAATCAGCTACCAAAAGGACACAGATTAATATTTATAATGTCTGTAACTATCAGGTCCAGTCCTATCATTTTATACTAACCCTAGAGCCGGAAATGAAGAAGAAGAAGGTGCGGCCTGCACAGTTCCAAAACAAGTCTGATTATTCACCGCCGGATCTTGGAACGGCGGCTGAGAAACAGAAACCTGATTGCTTTTGCTATTAGAAGCAGCCATGAAAGGGACCTTAATATTAAATTTATTCTCTGAGCCCATCACCAACTTAACCCTAGACCTTAGTAACTGGAAATGTTGTTGTGAAGAAGAAAGGGGAGTCTGGGTTTGGGTTTTATAGGCGGTCGGGGTCGTCCAACGCCATAATCAATACGTACAGATGGGAAAGACGGTAGATCCAGTAAATTTGAAAGGGATAATTAAAGAGGGTTGGACTGAATTGAATGCTATGAATAGGATAGTCGTCGTCGAAGAAAAAATCATGGATGATTTTAAGGAAGAAGAAGACGACGGGGATATGATAAGTCTGTTTAATTTTAGGATATCCCAGACTTTAATACCAACTTAGCTACAAGAACTACTTTCTCTCTCTCTCTCTCTAACATTTTAAGGAAGAAGACAAAGGTTAGAGAGAGAGAGGATTACCGGGCTCCAAACCGCGGAGAAAACCGATATACTTTCAAGGTTGCTTGTCTGACCGGCGTTTAAATGACGGAAAAGCCCTTGTATTCTACAAGTTTTTACAATTCAAATTTTCATGCAGCATGGTGAGCTTACACGTATATTCAACAGCAAATTTAAATTATACAAAAACATTAATTAAAAAGTTTAAGTTAATTAAGTAAATACAAAATAACTAATGCAACATTATTTAATAATAAACATCACATAACATGCATTTAATTTAAGTTATAATATATATGAAAATATGCTAGCTTCCAATAATTTATGTAATTTTATCTTTACATACAAATCACATACGGAGTATCGTTTTTTTTTTCTCCCCCCATTTTTTTTTAATAGAATTTCTTTGTTCCGTCTCATTTAATAAAACTTGAAAACTATAAAATAATTTTCAAATTAAATATGTTATTATAAATTTATAAGGTTCAAGTTTAAAATTAACATATTATATACTCCGTAATTTTAAGTATTACCAAAAAAAAAAAAAAAGTTAAAATTCATTTTAATTTTGCCATTTTATATTGTATTTGAAAGATATTTCGTAGAACATTTTTAATTGAACTAACTTATCAACTTTCAACTTCAATTCAAGTTAACTATTAAAAATAACTAACTGTAAAAAATTAGATTTTGGTGGTGCAAATATGTTAGTTATTAGAATTTAAAATCGTTAAATTGTCATTGTAAAATAAGTTAATTCCACCCGAGGTCGCGTCCATTGTTTTTGGTAGAAATTTTAAATTTAGTCACATACTATCATTTTTGACATTTAACATCCTAGACTATTATATTATTTTTTAGACACTTTTAGTCATTATCATGATTTTTTTTATTTTTAGTAAGGGCATTTTTATTTTTTATTAATTTTCTTTTGTTATTTATCCGGTTTAATTGGTTTAGAACTTCAAGTAACCTCTGATTTTTAGTAACTATAGTTTTCAACCGGTTTTTAGTAAAGTCTTAAATCAATTAAACCGGTTTTTAGTAAAGTCCTAAACCAATTAAACCGGTTGAAATCGAAAAAATAAGAAAAGAAAAATATGAATAGATTAAATTGCCTTTACTAAAAAAAAAAAAAAAAAAAAAAAACTCATGAGAATGACTAAAAGTGTCCATAAAATAATAGTCTAGAATGTTAAATGACAAAAACAACTGATACTAAATTTAAAATTTTCACCAAAGACAAGGGACCTTGAATTGGTGGAATTAGCTCTTGTAAAATTTCTCTGGTCATAGAAGTATACAACATGAGTTGTTGTAATATAGGTTCAAGCAATATAATAGGACAAGATGATAGCAGCAACGATAACTCAACACAACAAGAGTTCGAAGATGACATATAATTGCGTGCTTACGTTAGTACAACAAAGGTACGTTGAGTAGCAGCAGAGCTTTTATAACAAGAAGGCTTTTGATATTAGTAAGACTCTGAAGTAGGAGTTTGTGAGCTTGTGAATGAGAGAAATATAGAAAGGGATATAATTGTTTGGTAGATAAGATTACTAGTGAAATTTCTTCTTAAAAAAGTGTGGAGCAAAGGAATTGCACCATTCTCAAATAGTCAAATCATTATAAAAGCTCTGTCTCTTTACTTTATAAAAGTGTGTATCCGCTAAGGAGATATGAAAGGATTGATGAGAATAGGTGAGGGCGTCGAGTAGGAAAAAGACAACAAGCTCACTATTATCATAAAGAAATTCGAGGATTTTAAAGTGTTGACCGGTACGGTAAGACCATTGTAGATATGGAGGCTAGGTTCAATTCATCAAGCTTCTTGGAGAAATAGTTGATCTCGAAAAGAGGTTGAACCAAAAGGAGATACATCTCAAAGGTCTTAAAAGGTTTGTCACCTTAAAGTTAAGTGATATATTACAATGACAAAAATATAGGGACTAAAATGACTAGTAAAGAATAATTAATGGACTAAAAATGTAATTTTTGACAATTTTTTTTAAATAACAAATATAAACATATAAAAATGTTTTTTTTTTTTTTAAAAAAGAAGATAGAAAAGTTCAAAAAAGTAATTGTTTAAACATATTTGTAAGCTGTAATGACTAATGAGACGTTGGCCCTGTTTGGTAAATGACGGTTAACTGATTGAGTTAATTAGAGGGTATAATTAGTTGATAACATTAGGTGATTGTAGAAAGGTGTTTAGTAAATTAGCTGTTAGCTGATAGTTGTTTGGTATAATTTTTTTTCTCAAAAAGCTAATTGAAAGAGTTGTTTTGAGTAGCTTTTTGAATTTTAGCATTTTGGAGTATAAAAAACTAATTAACTAAACACTTATATTGATTTTTAAACCAAGTCAAACAATTAATAGTGATTAAATAAGTCAAAATTAGCATAAGGCCGACTATTTTACCAAAGTTTTTGAAAAATAATACTCTTTTGTTTGATTTTATTAGAATGGATAAATATTTTATTAAATACATGTCAAAATACTTATATAAGAAAATACAAAACTTGAACATTTATCGCTTATATGATGCATCGCCCTAAAATTGAGAACAATGCATGACTCCCTCATAGTGCAAGATAACTCCTACATTTGAACACAACTCCTATCGTGATGGTAAACTCATGTTCACAAACAGTACAAACTATAACTTTCTCAATATTATACTATAGTCTCTTTTACCAAGACTATGTGGTCTAATGGTATTCGGGTTGGACTTTCATTTGGCAGGTTATGAGTTCGAGCCTCAATAAATGCGTTATTGGTTCTTAGTGTTTCAGTAGGTTAACGACCAATATATTTCTGAGAAACATAATTTGTACGTCTTGACCTTTCGCCATGAATATAATCCCTCAAAGATATATAGTAACAATATGAAATTCTAACTAACTATTGCTCGTGACCATGTAAATTACATTTGAAACAAATCATGGAATTGAAGTAGTAATTTTTTTTGGGCATACCCAGGGTTTCTCCCGTCGGACACAATGACTAATTCTCTCGCTGAATTGTAGACATCTCTTTTGGGTGGGATAGCTGGCCTGGAGATTTAAATTGAAGTAGTATATATCGTTGATTGATTACAATGTGATTGAGAGCTTGATTAATGTTGGGTAGTCAAACAACTCTAATCAATTTATAGAATTAAGCTAGTGCTAGATATGCTATGGAGTATAAGATGCTTTGGATCATAGGAGAGGGGTCTTCTTTATATATATACTAAAGTTTATCAGCGGTGTCATGATAACCCAAGGCAAGTGGTGCTAATGTGGTGAGCTCTAATTAATGGATGTGGGTGATTAATTAGGTAGTGTTAAAGACCACACAAATGCCCATGACAACCTAGTTCAATTCAAACTTGCTAGGTGCAGGTTTGCTTAACTTGCCCTACTCAATGTAAGTGGACTTGGTCATCAATTTTCCCGATCTAATTTTATAGGCCCGATCTATAATTTTATAATAAAACCGAAATTGTAATGCCCACTCTACATTTAGTTCGGGGATCCTTAATTAGCATAAGAAAATAAGTTTGAAAGTGACCAAGCTGCATCCTAACCTTGTCTAGGCTCCTTGTCCTCATATTGCAATTGTGGTCCATCATCATTGATCATCAGGCTAAATTTTGGAGCTCCTAGTGATGGGTTATGCATGGCTAAACCCGGCCTGGTCAAGAAGGGTAGTTACGTTGCAGCATATATTATTTTGGTTAACGTGGGAGTCTTTTTGACTTCCTCATCATCATCATGGAGTCAAGGGACATGCAAGTGTTGCCAATTTAGTGGTTGAATCTTTGGCAGAAAATGCTTCAATTTTTTCACCACCCAACACTATGGACGAGTTTAGTAAATGACGGTTAGTTGTTAGCTGATTGAGTTAATTAGAGGGTATAACTAGTTGATAACATTAACTGATTGAAGAAAAGTGTTTGGTAAATTAGCTGTTAGATGATAGTTGTTTGGTATAATTTCTTTTCTCAAAAAGCTTATTGAAAAAGCTGTTTTGAGCAACTTTTTGAATTTTAGCATTTTGCAGTTACAAAAAGCTAATTAACCAAACACTTATATTGATATTTTAACCAAGTCAAATAATTAATAATGATCAAATAAACTAAAATTGACTGATATGCTAACTATATATATATATATATATATATATATATATATATATATATATATATATATATATATATATATATAGAGGAGTGATCACATGTAGCCATGTTGTTAGGTGTGGTCATATGGTCAATTATAGACCATTAGATTAGATAGATCTAATGAATCATATTAATCAAGATTTTTTCAAGTATTTTCGCGCACATTCTACTACCCAGCGAACTCTAAGGGTAAACTTGTCATAAAACACCGGAATATGAAAAATCACATTGTTGTGTGTTTTATTACACTATTGGTGCATGTTGTCAACACTGTTGGTGTATTCTGGAACCCGACCGCTATAAATGGCCACTGTAATTACCATAACACGGAATACACCATTGGTGTGTTTCACTGTGGTGTGTTTTATTACACTATGGGTGTATGTTGTCAACACTGTTGGTGTATTCTGGAACCCGCCCGCTATAAATGGTCACTGTAATTACCATAACACCCCCACTTACTAAAACGCGCGAAAATTCTCAGAATTACCACTGCCTTTAGATTAAACTGATTCAACGACACAGATACGACCACACGACCACACCTAATGACATGACCACATATAAGCGTTTTTCTATATATATATATACACACGCACTGCTCATTATATTGCTCATTTCTCATTTTTCAGCTTTTGCT